GAAAAAAAAAACCCCCAAACCCNTTTACTCTTCATCTATACCACTACTGGCTACATCCATAGTAGTACAGGGACGACTGTAAGTTTGCACATCGTAACTTGGCCTCCCTATCTAGTCATGCTGCCGTTTGTATTACCTAATGTCAAGCATTTGAAAACCTTAAAGAACTTTCTGATATATGGAAATCACTTCATCAGCAATACTAAATAAAATTTGTCAGTCAGATGAATTACTCCATTCAACTAATGAATTTTATTTTGTTTAGAGATGCATCATCATATAAGATGTAAAATATTAAATTCAGTCATACTGAATCTAAGTATATGCTATATATAAAATATATCAACATAAATAAATATTATTCTATTATTATATTGCAATATGCCATTCAAAAACTATTTTTCACTAAATATTATAAAAATTATTTGAAAAAAAATTTAATTTTTCTTCTAGAATTCAATTATTTCAAGCAATGACTGTATATTAGACTGGCATATTGTTTATCACCTAAACCAGGACAGTTTTTAAAAGTGAGTGAAAAATGGTTCTAAAAATGGTTAAACCTAGCTTATTTCTTAAAACATTATTTGCATATTGACCTATAAATTAATTTGATTATATTAAGAGCTTCTATTTAAAATTTTATTCTATTTTTGAGGGTTAAAAACAGGAGAAATCCAGGACCATCCCGGACAAGCCAAGAAGTATCGTCACTCCATCCTGAATATATTTTAAGTAACAAGTTTTAAATATATTTCGCAAAATCTTAAATCATTCTATAACTGAACACTTTCTAATGTTTTAAATTAAAATTTAAGATGTCAAAAACTGATAAAACCATCAAATAAATTAATTATGTCTTTTTATATTATTAAAAATATCATATTTATCATTCATAAATCCAAAGTGAAATTTTTTTATGGCTTCACAAGTAATCAGCATAGAGGAAAAAAACACTGCAAACATATGCATATTAGGTGCATTTATAAAATAAAAAAGGAAAAATGAACGTAAAGAAGGATATATTTGCTTTATTTCATGCTTAAATCAAAAACTTTGTTTCATATTGGGGTCAAAGCTCATTTGGAAAGTGTCCAAAGAAATTGATAAGAAAGATCTTACATCCAGAAGCAACCTGCTGCAACAGGACGAGTAAAGAATGTCCTCGCAACACGAAGAAGCCAACATTTCATCGCAGCAAGAGGAACCGACCCCAATACCTCGACCTCGCCCCATTTTTATTCACATTGACCTCCTCCTTCTCCTCGTTCACATTGGACACCTGGAGGACAAAGATGCCCGCATCTCACCTCCTTAACTAATTTCTAAACCATTTAACAAATCAATATGCCTTTGTTTATTATTAACTTTCATTTTAATCTTAACGAATTTTGTACATAAAGTGGAACGTAAAGCTAAGAAGTTAATTACTCTAATCGACGCTAATCTGGATAATGGTAAAAACAAAAAAAAATTAAAAAAACAAAACAAAATGAATATTTCTTTTGTTATAAATACACTTTTGTGAGTCCATCATTATATCCCCATAACAAAGTTTGACTTCTTAAATACCATAAGCAGTTTGTAGTTATAAATGATGGAATATTACTAATCAAATTAGAGGATTTATTATCGGACTACATTTTGGTTAATTAGATATACATATGCTGCATATTTTTTACTAAACTTAGGTGATTAATTGTCATCTTGTATGAAATTCAATAATAAGAATTTACTAAATAATTTAAGAATAGAATATTCTGGAAGAAAACATCTATATGCAGCAGGACTCAAACCTGAAACTCATAGCTGTCAAGAGCTTGTATAGAACACAAAGATAGAACAGTCTTCTTTTGTGCCCTTAGTAAGCTTTTTGTCATTTTATTGGACAAATAAAATATGTACATTGTTTATTTATTAATAAAAAGCAATTTTAAAGATTTAATTATTTAAATCCAAAATTAATGTATAGGGATAAGTACCACTACACATTATCTCCTGCCCCCCAAAAAACCCCAACTCCTCTCTCAAGACCACTGATCGTGGGTACGCTCCTCACCATGTTGACACGTGTAGTTTTCCGTGTTTTCTTCACGTGCCTAACACCTAAACAGGGGCCTGCTTTTCCTATTAAATCCTTCCGGAAGGCACCTCCCCTGGCAGATCACCCACGTGTTGCTTTGTCGTACACCACATCAAACCAACCCCTTTCTCGATCGCTCTGTACACACGAAGGTATATTATATAATTGATTTAAAATCCGTAAAATTCCATAAGACATTATCTTTGATAATTTCGGTAAGAATGATTTAGAGGGAAGGAAATGACGATAATGCATTGGTGTATCGTTAACTGCGCTTGACATGTATAAAGTGAACTTGACCATTCGTCGATATTTTATCTGGAAACGTCGATATAAATATAGATTTCAATAAGTAAAATAGAAAAGTTAAAGCTTTAACATTTACTATTTCATTTAAAATAACTTGACATTCAAAACCGGAAGATTCATATTTTATACGCTAAATGAGCCGAGTTTAAATTGAAATTTGATCTGTAAATAATGGAATAAATTCTAAGAAAAAATAAAATTTAAAGGAAAATAATATTGAAAATTTAATTAAAATTTATTTTTTAAACTGATTTTAAATTCTTTAATTCATTTAAAAAATTTTATGTAATTTAGTATAGAACTTGAGCGAATTTAATGGGAATTTCTGTGTGATTTTAAAACTTTAATAATAAAAAAATGTACTAATATATAATTGAGATTTTAATAAGAGTTTTCTAATCAATTATTATTATTATTTTTTTATTTAATTAAAATAATGATCATAATTTAAATTTCATTTAAAATCAATAATAAACTACATTTGTAACTCGAGTGTAGTTTTTTTTAAAACATTATTTATTAAAATTTATACATTTAAATTAACGGATTCTTGAACTTATATGACAAATAATTAATTTTTTTTTCTAATTAAATTATACTTTAAAAATAATTGTTAAAATCATTCAAATTTATAAATAAGATCTTTTAATGAAAATATCATAAATTAAAACATTGCTCGTTTATAATTTAAATTAAAATATACTTAAAATTTTTAATTAATTAATTTATTTATTTATTAATTTCAAGTATATATTCAAATATATTTTTTTTTTACAAATTTTTTTTTATGTCAT